CAGGCTGCAGACAGCTGGGGACACAGCTACAGTAGGGCATGAGGAAAATTCTGCCAGGGTGGTCATTTGTATATACTTCACAATGGGTAAAGGCAAGCATGTGCAGTTCTGCAAAGGAAATCTGATCCCAAAAGGTCCTGTCCTGATTGTGTAGGTAGCAGCTGGACCTGCATCCAGAGCAGGTTTGGTACTGGGACAGAAAGTCAACCAGAGACTGGGCTTTCAGGAAAATGCTTTTCATTTCCAGGGTTTTAAGTCATTAGAAGGGGCTATTTACATTAGCAATTTGGCATCCTCTGCTTGGCAGGAGTTAAGGACATTACAGCTGAACTGCATAATTTCTAATCACCTCTTTGACTGAGCACTGGGCTGCCCTGGCTCACTGCAGCCCTCTAGAAAAGTATGAAGTAAAAAGCAGGGAATTTTCTAATCAGGTATTTTCTGGGCAATGCCATCAGCTATAGCACTTCATATGACTACATTTGCATTTCTTGTAGATGACACTGTCTTTTCTGTTTCCTCTATCCTTATTGTTGATGGAGAGGAGCATGCTGTGTGCACTTTCCTCAAGTGCTGGTTGCTGTGGCTGCTCAGCAATGCAAGGAGAGACCACTGTGTCATTCTGAGTGTCACTCACAGCCCAATCACATCCAGGTGAATGCTGTGCAGGGTAAACATGGGGCAGCATCTGTTCAAGCAAATACATTCTCATATTGTGCATACTACTGGTTTGTAAAACCTATAAAGCCTATCAGTTGTTAGACTAAAAGTCTGGTTCAAACCTGAAACTTTTCTTTGCCCCATGGAATTTGTGAGATATTTTGGAAACTCTAGAAATGCTTAGACTTGGAATGAATTTTGTTATGGCTTTTTCCATTGTTTGTGTTTGGCAAAACTGTCCCCTTATGAGTTGTTGCCTAGAAATTATTGATGGGGGAATGACCTGCTAAAAGTTCTTAACCTCCATCTGGATCAAAACCAAGCTGCCAGTTGTTGGAAGCTGCTGGGGTGTGGCAGAGCCAAGGCCAAGCTCATGGGCTGCCGGGCTGCAAAGCACAGGCACAGCTTTGCTGCTCCCTTTTGCCAGCATCTGTCCCCTTTTGGAGGGACATGCTCCCGTTTGGAGATCAGTGCCCTAAATATCAGTATAGTTTAGGATCAGACCCTGTATTTTCAGTTAACATGCCTGAATTCTGTGTGGAAACAATAGTTTTAAATAGTTTAAAAATATAAATAAATGCAAGGGACATGTATGTCTGGTAGTGTTTTCCACCTGCAAGAAAGTTGCAAACCCTACTGAATTCCTAAATAAACAGAAACAATTGAGTGCACCTTTGATCCTCTCCCTGTTCCCATGAAGAGAGGCTTCCTTGCAGATGCCCACACAAATCACATTCGTTTACTTCATATTTCTGTCCTGTCCGCCATGAATATAGCGCAATCTGTTTTAGGAGCTTAATTTCCTTGTAAATTGAACTGCTGAGGCAAGATGAGGTGGGAACGATGCTGCAGGAGATCGGATTTCATCTGTGCTTTTCCTGTGACCTGGTGCAAGTGCCGGGTCTGCATCTTCACAGCACCTGCTGCTGTGTATTTGCCAGTCTGCAGGTCGAGGACATGATGCTGCCAAGCTGCTTTAGTGCCTTTGGACATCCTCAACAGCTTGCTGTCCTTTTCTGTGTGACAGCTGTTAAGAGATGTACAGTTTTGTCTAAGTTAGTTGCTTGTCACTGGCCTGCTTGTTGTGATTCAGTTTTGTGGTATTTTGTAAGCACTATGAGTTGGTTCCCAATCGTGTGAGATTTAGGAGAGTGGGAAAGGCATAGCTAAGGCACCACTATTCATATTGTGAGTGCTGCTTTGCAGTGTCAGACAGCACAGAGACCACAATATAGGGGTGTTTTGAGATCAGTAATGGTTGTAGACAGTGGTTGTAGGGCTCCAATGAGAACATTTGTGATCATCCACAAGTGGAAATGTTTGAGTGTGTCCACTCTGGTGCCAGAGTGGGCAGAGAAAGCTGGAACCCTGCAGAGCTAGGCTGGGCTGTGTGTGCATGGGAATAAGCATCACCTTCCTGAGGAGTCTGCGCAGCGTTTACAATAAGATTTTGTACAGAGTGAACAGATGTCAGCAGTAACTGCTCAAATCTTTATGTTTTAAATCCTGTGTGTGCTTTGAAAAGTGTCCTTTATTCTGGTTGAGGGCAAGGCGCCCTTCCTTCATCATGTTGAGGTTACATCAAACAAAGTGACGATTGTTAAGGGCAAAGTAAGGTAAATTAGCTATTTTGCTCCTGTTTCCCTGATTTTGAGTCTGATCTTTCAGTAAATAACAGTTTGTACTTTAATCCGTTCTCTCCTGTGAAGGGTGGTGTTGAAGGTACCTGCAGTGGGGAGAGAGCAACTCAGAGAGACAGAGGTGTTAGTTTCTATGCTAGAAAAGACAGCAGAATGTGACTTAAATTTGAACAAAGATAATATTAGGGTGGTTTCTAAGCCTGGTTCCCAGAGAACTACACATTTGTTAACTGAATGTTTCTTGTACTAGTAAGAGAGCCTTGACCTGATTTACATTTCATGGTCCACATAAATGTGGAGACACTGCCAAAATGATCTCTTTCCTACTTCTATTTTCTAATATTCTCTTTCCTTCCTATAATTACAGATATTCCAGAAAATGGAGTGAAATGTTTTTCCTACTGTTTGATTATTTGTTTCATGCATATGCATTTCTGGGACACACAGTTCTGGAGCATGCAGCTGAATGCACAGGCCTGGAGTCTCTGCAGGCTTGTATAGCTTTGAAGCAAAGAATCTAAAGCATAAGTAAGATTTTTGCAGAATTAAAGAGAATTTAGAGGAACAGGAGTAGAGATTTAAATTCCTGTACATAAAATCCAGTCTCAAAACCAGGGATAAGTTTTCACCTTCCTTCTGCTACCATCTTAGAGATGTTTTTTGGATGCTGAATGGAGATATTTACAGAATGAAACTGCTCACAATTATAAGGAAAATCACTTTAGTTACTGGCTCCTGTTGATGTTCACTCTAATGATCACATTACAGAAGGGATTTATTAGTTAACAGTCTTGAGTGCTAAACCTGCAGACACATGGCAGTGCAAGAAAACACTGTACATAAGTTGGATAGCTTTATTTTTGCAGCACTCTAATTAGGCACCTTCATAAAATAGACATGTGAATTTGTAAATCTCCCAAAATCTCCTTGCTCACCAGCTGGAACATATCTAGGATTCTCAATTCAAACATCTCAATCTGCCACATGTCTTATTTTAGCTAAGCCTCAGCTTTTAAACTTCAGCAGGTATTAGAAAAACGTTACCCTGCATCTTACAGCATCCTCTGAGTCCAGGAGGAAAGTTTGAAGCCATGAACTAATTGTGCAGGAATTTAATAAATCTTGTCGAGATGAATTCAGCCAGGAAAGTTTGGGGCTGGCTTTGCTACCAATGCTGCTCTCTCCAGAGAGTCCCTCCCCATTTATTCTGGAGTTGCACACTTCGGTAAGGCAGGAGGGCAGAGTAACGTAGGTTAATTCTCAGGCTCTCGCTTCCCCTGGTGCCAGTAACCTACTTAGAGGAGCGGCAGCGCAGGCCCAGTGCGCTGGGAGGATTGGATTGTCTCGCCCAGCAGTGCGGCTGTGGCTCCTCTCTGGCAGCAGCTCGGGTAGGGATTGACGTTGTGAGCCACAGAAAAGCCTCTGGTGTGAGGGATTGAGGCTGTGAGCCACAAAAAAACCTCTGGTGTGAGGGATTGACGTTGTGAGCCACAAAAAAACCTCTGGTGTGAGGGACTGACGTTGTGAGCCATAGAAAACCTCTGGTGCCCAAGGACGGTGAGGGGGCCCCACGCACCTGATTTTTCCGAGCTGTTGAAACAACAGGCGTTGGAAGCAAGGGAGAGGCTTGTGTAACAACGGGTGGTGCGTGCCTTGGGCTCTGAGTAGAAGCACACTTTGCTTAAAAGCTTCCTCTCGAGCAGCCTCCACAGGTTCCTTTAAAGCCAAATAGGACATGTTTTTCTCTGCAAGGGTAGCAGGCAGAAGTAGGACAGGGTTTTGTCCTTTTGAAGTATTAATACAGTTCACAAAAAAATGAAGTGCCAGAAGATACAGAAACTTTAAAAAATATGTTGAAACTTTTGAGATAATTTATTTTTTATTACAGCTAATATTGCATTTGGTGTAAAACACAGAACATGTTTTGATATATCCTTTCCCTGGTGGAAAAGAGAACAAAAAGGAGAATCCACATTTAGTCTTGATTGAAACCTTCTGAACCCTAAATATCTTTTTTCCATGAATGGTAGTGTTAAGAAAGACATTTCATTCCTAAAGCCCAAATTAAAAAAAAAAAAGTGTAGCCAGCACAAACTGCTACTGTCTTCTGAAAGAGCTTTAGCAAGTGTGTGGGACAATAAATCACCCAACATCAGTCTTGGCACCTGTACAGATTTGAAGAGGAATACAGCATCACTGTGGTGAATCCATTTTCTCTCACATGAAATAGAAATCATCACATGAGCTGTGTTAAAAGAGCTACTGCATGTGCAGTGTCTATATGATTTACACAGTTATTTAAATATCTGTAGATCTCAGCTCTCCAAGGAATTCTGTCTGTTGTGACTCACATCTTATGTTGTAAATTTATCTGTAAATGTCATCTTTTACTGAGGTATTTACAAACTTAAAATATTTTTCGTAATTATTTGTAAATATTAGCTCTATTGTCAGCAGCAACAGTTTGGATTGTTTTGTCATAGAAAAGTGGGAGGGAAGCACTGTTTTGGCAAGTGAGAAGCAAATAATTCAAAGTCAAGTGTTGGATTGGAGTAATTAAGTCCAACAGCAGTAGATATTCAGAGTGAAGTTCAGCAGTGATATTGTGGCTGCTGAAGGCAGCTGTGCTGCATGCATGTGTGAAGTGCAGTTTGGTGTTCCTCAGAGAAACCTTCCAACTGCACCTCTTGCATTTACCAGGTCCCGTGGAAGCCGGAGGAGTTTGGTGTGCAGCTGCTTTTCCAAAGTGTCTGGCAAGTGCTTCTAGAGGGTGAGTGTTTAGTAGATTACCTGCATGAGCCTGTAGAAATTTAGCCATTGACTGGGTAAATTGCATTAAAAAGAAGCCATTAAATCACTAAGCAAAGTCTCTTTTGAACTTGCCTAGTATCTGACCATCTTCTGCAAGAGAACACTGGCAGGGCTCCTGCTCTGCTTCTTTGAACTCATGCACATGTCCTTGTGCAGCTCTCAGTCCTGCTCTGTTCTCCCTTGCCCTCTACATGGTCTGGGCTTTTGTGTTGCCAGCTGTGCTCCTCATCCCATTGTTGCAGGCTTGGGCATAGCTGGGCTGCAGTTTGCTCTATGGGCAATTACACTGAAAGTCATTGGGTTTTTGCACTGCTTTTGCCTGTGTGGAGGTATTGTACCTACAGCTGTTCTTTCGTGCTCATGTGTGGTTTGTGCCAAATGCAGTCATTGCTGATGATTAATGAATAGTTTTGGTTTACACTGTAGACTGTGTTCTAGATTATAACTCAGCTCTCCTATATACAAGTCTGTAGCAGCACTGTGAGCAGCATGATGTAGAAAGCATCCCAAAGGACAGGATGTATGGGCACACAGTTTCTCTTGTTCCTTGCCAAACTACCAATGCACACATAGTTTCATCTTAAGCAGAGCAACAGCATTGCCTGAGGCTGTAACTACCATCCTTGCTCATAATGGCCTTGGGATCCTGAGGTGAGCTGAGTGCCCTGGTACCATTGTGAATTTGGTGAAATCATTGCATCCAGTTCAGAAAATCATTCACGTGCTGCTTAGAACCTGCACCACTTATTTTATAGAGAAGTATTATTGAATTAAGGTCATAAATTTATAAAGTGAACAGCAAGTTTTTTGTTTGTTTCAAAAACCTTTATTGCCTTCATCCAAGGATATTGTCTATCTGTAGTATAGCCTTTGTGGTGACAAATGGTTTTAATATTTGTCCCAGTTTGTAGCTTTTTCTTTTTTTTCTTTAGTCAAGCATGGCAGAAATAGGAGTGATTAATACTGAGAAAAGTTTGCAGCTACCCAGGCTCAGAAGTATTCATCCTGTCTTGGAGTATTCCACTTTCTCTTTTCACCTTTTCAAATAAGCAGATTAGATTTTGCCTGAACTAAGGACATTAAGCCTTCAAAAGATGAAGGTTTACTTTATTGAGCTCTCTTGAGAAGAAGCCCAAGGTCTAGGCCCAGTCTTACTTTTTATGATGGTCTGTCCCCACTGTTTCACCACTTCCTAAACCTCAGGGAGAAGCTAAAAAAAGAGGAGAAAGCGAATGATAGTTTTGCCCTTGGCAAAATGCTTTTTTTCACTTCCTCACTGTCATGCCCAGCACAAACCTGTCTGAGGAAGCCACTGGTGGGGACTGAGACTGAGATGACTTGAGATGACTGACAAGGTGATCAGGAAGTTCCAGCCTAAATTACAGCCCTGTGTGTTCTCAAAGTGCACTGGTGTAATCTTAGGGAGCGCAGTAAGAGGTTAGGACAGAATGAGGAAGGGGTCATGAACATGCATTACAAAGGAACTGCGTTTGTGAATATGAGTATAGAAGCTAGAATAAACATGTCAGGAGCCCACATGTTTATTTTTTTAGGTATGATAATAATCTCTTTCTAGGACTCTCAAGATTACCTCACCAGGGTTTATATGTGTTTGTAAGTTTAAACACAGTATAAGAAACAAATGCCACACAAGCCAGCTCAGAATTTTTTCTGTGGATACACTCAAAATTACTTCATGGAAGAAGCAAATTTTTTTTCTATTAAAAATGGCCTGAATTTCTAGTATCAGCATGTGTCTGCTTGTTTCTGCATGTTCCCCAATCTTAGTCAAAGGAAGAGTTATTTGGTATCAATATGCAAAAAGAAAATGCAGAAAGAAAAATAAAAAATAGAGGAAAGCAGATGATGTTATCAGGATGGCAAAGGGAATCCAAAGGTCTGTCAGCTTGGTCAAGAAAAGCTGGGAGAAAAATTTTCTTCTGTCAAAGGAGGCTGTAAAAGCATGCAAGCAGGTGGGACACGTGCCAGAGCAGGCAGTGTGAACTTTTGGATCAACTCTAATAAACTAAGTATTGTACAGGTGCTCTGAGGTTTGATTTCACTTGGAGGAGAAAGTGACCCATTTGGTAAGCCTTTTTCTTTTCTTATTATTCACACTGCCTTGTTCTTAGTGCTTTGTCTCACAAACCAGAGGTGAGGAACTCTCTGGGGCGGCAATCCCTGATGAAGCCTGGACTCTTGTATTGCCCCTATATAAAGAGAGATTTTGGATCTTGGAAACCTTGACATCCATTATTGTCACAAGCCATGTGAGACAGGTCAGGTGGAGGCAGTGACTGATCACAGCAGGAGCTCCATAGCATCAGCTGTCTGGACATAGAAATCATCTGTGCTCCTCCTCCCTGCTAATCTGTTTTCCGTTGCTTGATAGTTAAGTGTGGCTATAATACATAGGGAAAGAAAAACAAACTCATGCTATACACCCCATTGTTAGGCTACCAAAAAGACTCACTGTCATCCAATTCCTTCAGCTTTAGACTGCTAGTAGACTGTGGAGCATGGCTGCTATATCTTATTTTCAGTAGTGAAATTGCATCAACAAATTGCTACCAAAACTAGGACCTGAGGATGGCAGGGGGTGGTCTCTGAAAGCAGGAAGAGGATAAGGGGGATAGGCTTTGCCATCAGAGTGTTATTGAAGGCTTTGTGCAGTTTGGCTGAAACAGCTCAAGAAGCAGCTGGCACCAGAGTTTCCCTTGTAGCCAGGTTAGAACGGGTTGGGTGGGAGCTTTAGAGGCTGATGCTTCCCATCTCACCCATGTGCTAGCATATGCAGGAGAACAGTTCTTAGATGCTGTGTGACTGGCAGCACCAAAGTGTGAACACTAACTATTCCTCCTCAGTTCAACCACCTCCATGTATCCTCCAGACACATCTCTTTTAATCTTACTTTCTTCTGGTGCAAAATCTCAAAGGTGACTTGAGTCTGTGAGGATGTGCTGGGCTAGTGGGGCAGAGCTCCCTCCTCTCCTGTGCTGCTAGTTTATTCCCTTCCTGTGCACCATGCTCAGGATGAGCACGGTTGTTTGTCAACAATGAAGCTTCAAAGATGTACAACCCAAAAGTTGTGCCTTGCTTAGCTTGATGTACAGTGTGTGCAGCACCATCCCCTCACCCAGCTGGAAAACCAGCAAAGTACAGGGAACTGAGGAAACCTTGGTGACAGCTCAAACTGAGACAAATACTTCAGCTGTCCGGTGTCCATTCCTCGCCATATGCTTCACTAGTTAACAGTCTTATTAAATCTAAAATAAGTTTCCATGGCTTTATAAAGCTTATTGCATTTTTGTTGCCTCTGGAAGCTCCTTGGATTATAATTTGACCAGTTCGTGCCCAGGTATTAAGGTCAAAAGCAGCTTCTTTAGTTGTGTCTAATCCATGGTTCTTAGCCCACGTTATTAATGCTAATAATGCTTTTTCATCATAGTCTAGGTCCCATTCCTCAAGAAGAAGTTTCCATACCTTTAGTACTGGGTGGTCCTGCGTGGAAATAAAGTTTCCCATCTCTTCGGTGGGGTTTTTCCTCTATTTTCAGCTTCTCTGGTTTCTTCTTTTACACAGCCCTTTGGCTGTGACTCTTGCAGCCTTTGCTGCAGTTATTATTCTTGCAGTGTTGTTTACTACAGCTGTAATTCTTGCAGCCTTTGCTGCAAATTGGGCTCTCCCCACCTCTTTCTTTCCAGCTTTTCACTGTGGGGACAGGCTTTGCAGGTTCTGCCCTGTGTCCCTCTCTGCTCTACTTGTGGGCAAACCTTGGACTGTTCGTCCTTGCAGCAGGAGCACCATGTGGCACGTGGGGCCGTGTTTGAGACAGAACACACACACCAGGCCTCCGGCATACATCAGCCAAACAGCCTGTTTTATTGCAGGGAGCATACTTTTATAGGCAATTTAAAGCTCTCGGCTCTAAACAGTCATTGGTCTAATCTCCACACCCTCTGAACCAGTCAAATGCATGTATTTTAGGAGAGTTGTTATTGGTTGAAACATCTGTCAGTCAGCCTAGAGGCTGGTTTATGGAACTGGGCTGGGTTTCTTTTTATATAACCAGATTAATGTTCAGTACAAGTCAGCTTGTACTGCAACATCAGAGCTCACACATTTTCTCATAAAGCAATAAATAACCAAAGTAAATGTGTCTGGATGCTGTGGAGGATGACAGTGCTATGCCACTGTCCATGTAGACATGGGCTGTGGGCTGATAAAGCAGCATTTTGAGTAGTGGGATGTTTCTCGTGGTGTGGCAAATGCTCAGTCACCCTGCACGTGAGGCTTTGAAGTTTTCCTGTAGGATTAGCAGGCTTTGAAATTTTTGCTTAGTATTAGTGAGCTTCTATCTGCATAGGACATCTCTGGAGGCCATTAATAAAGCTCTCAAACACATTCTGCTCATCCATCTTTAAAACTGCTGTATTATGAGCAATAAAGAGGTCCTGGTGAAGAAGTTATTCCTGATGCAGATTCTGATGGGGTGCTGTCCTGCTGCCAAAACTTCTGGGCTGGTCTCCAGGTGTTTTAGCACTGTTCTAATTGCTTCTTGATTTCAATTCCTGCTGTTTTCTAAACTTTTTTTTTTTTCAAATATCTGCTTTTTCTGCTGTGTGAATCTTCTCCTTTTCTTTTCTTTTTGTATTCCTGATCCTCTTTTCTTTCTCTGAGTGTTTTGCTCTTTCTTTTTTGCATCTTTCCACGTCTCTGTTCTTTCTATGGGGGAGGTAACTTGTGACTCCTTCCATTGCAGCTGCTCAAGAGAGCAGGGATTTCTTTCACAGGTAGGTGGTTGGAAGGGAAAATGGGTGGACTACACCTGAGAGAACTGTGATCTCTAGGCTCCCACTCAGCTACCACTGCTCTTCTGGCTTTGGCATTTCAGCTTTCCTCAAAACCCAGCAATAATCAAAAATGATGCAAAGTCCTTCTGACCCTGGTTAGGGTAAC